TCCTGGAGCATGGGAGATGGGGCGGGCCTGTCACCACTATCCCTCACCAGGCTGGCTCTCCCAACCCCAGTCGTCCTGGTCCCTACCTGTAGATAGGCCTTGAGCTGCAGGTACACATTGGTGATGTGTTCCGCTTCCTCGGCCTTCATCTGGGCCTTCTCCAGGCGGTTCTCCAGGTTGCGCATGGTCTAAAGGGAAGCAAGGCAGAGCTGGGTCCCCTCCCTGCTCAGTTCCTCGCCCAGGATTGAGCCCTCCACAGACCTCACTGGCCCCACCTTGGCCACCTCTGTGTTGCTGTCTTGCATCTCTACCATCTCCAGCTCGCGCAGACTGTGCTGCAGCTGGAGCTCCTCCAGCCACTTCTGCCGCAACCCCAGCTGGTGCCGAAGAGCATTCAGTTGCTTCACCTTCTCACTCAGCTGGTGGTCCAGATGCTCCAGGGCCTGCTGGAGGAATAGGAGCAAGAGCAGGGACCTGAAACCCCATCTGGTCCTTTTACCCTTTCTTCTATATCTTGGTTCTCACCTCCCCTGTCTCTTAGTAGCGTCGGACCTCGGTGATTCCCCCTCCTCCTGCAAAGTCTCCGTTTTGGTGGCTGCCAGGACCCCCACTCCCTAGTTTTCCACCTACCTCCCTAGCTGCTGCTTCTCCATCTCCTTTGCCTTTAAAGAGCCGGCCCCTGGCTTCTCTCTCCTCTGTCCACACCCACCCCCTTGGTGATCCTATCCAGACTCAGGGTTTTAAAAGTCACCTATACACTGAAGACACCCCAACTTCACCTCCATCCTGAACTGCAGATAGTATATCCATATCTACACTGCCTTCCAGATGTCTGCACAGGCAGCTTGAAGTTATCATGTCCAAAACTGAGTAAGTACTCAATCTTTCCCCAGACTGGCCCTTCTCGACTCTTCTCCATTTCAGCTCATGGCAGCTCCATCGCTATGGGTGCTCAGATCCAAAACCTTGATGCCATCCTCATCTTCTCTTTTTCTCTCCCACCTACATTCAGTTTGTTAGCAAATCCCTATTTCAAAGGTTCCCCCAGAGGGGAAAGGGTATAGCTTAGTGGTAGAATGCCTGCTTAGCATGCATGAGGTCCTGTGTTCAATCCCTAGTCCTCCACTAAAAATAAATAAATCTAATTACTTCCCCTAAAAGGGGAGTCTTTTTTTTCCCCCACTGCATGGTGACCAATACCTAATTACCTCCTCCCCAAAATAAAAATAAAGAATTTAAAAACATTTTTAAAAACCCCAAAGTTCCCCCAAAGAGATCTCTTTCTTCCTATTTCTACCACCTTTGTCCTAGTACAGCCAACCCCATCTTCACCCAGATGACTTCCTCCTGGCTTCTACTTTTGCTTTCTCACAGTCCATTTTCCACTTCTCTGATTCTTTGTATAAAATCTGTACTCTTCATCATGGACAGCAAGGCCTGCTGCAAGGTTCTGCCTCTGCTGAGTGCCCCCTCACACCTCATCCAGCCACACTGTCCTCCTCTGTGTCCCCAACACACTTTGTTCCTACTCCAGGGACTTTGCACTTGCTGTTCCAACTGCCTGGAACACTTTTCCTTGATCATTTCTTGCCTGTCCCATTATCAGCTCAAATAGCTCCTTCTTAGAGAAAGCAAAGACCCCTACCTCTCCATCTAAGGGGTGACTCCTCCCCTCCTATTCTTCTCTAGTAAGTCACTCTGTTTTATTCATTTTTCTTGCCGCCACTGGAAGTTACTTTGTTTCTTTGGTGTTTCTTATTTTGTTTCTATATTTTGTTGTTCTTTGTTGTTCTTTTTGTGTCTGTTTTCCCCACTAAGAGGTTTGGGGGAGTGGGGACATGGTCTGTGTTTTTTTTCACTGCACGAGGACCAGTACCTGAAAACCATGCTAAGTACATGATTGGTCCATGATAAAGACTGAGTAAATATCCTCCTACACTGTTTGTGGGAATGTAATTTGGTACAGCCGCTACGGAAAACAGTATGGAGATTCCTTAAAAAACTAAAAATAGAGTTACCATATGATCCAGCAATCCCACTTCTGGGCATGCATCTGGAGAAAACTCTAACTTGAAAAGATCATGCACCCCAATGTTCATAGCAGCACTATTTACAATAGCCAAGACTTGGATGCAACACAAGTGTCCATCGACAGATGACTAGATAAGGAAATTACGGGGTGTACATATATAATGTATACATAGATAATGGAATACTACCGTACCATAAAAAAGAATGAAATGCCATTTGCAGCAACAAGGATGGACCTAGAGATGATCATACTAAGTGAAGTAAGACAAAAACAAACATCATATGATATATGGAATCTAGAAAACTGATACAAAGAATTTATTTACAAAACAGAAAGAGATTCACAGACATAGAAAACAAACTTATGGTTACCAAAGTGGCAAGTAGCCGGGAGGGATAAATTAGGAGTTTGGTATTAGCAGATACAAAGTACTATATACAAAACAGAAAAATAAGGTTCCAATGTACAGCACAGGGAACTACATTCAATGTCTTGTAATAACTGATAATGAAAAATAATATATATGTATAACTGAATCACTGTGCTGTACACCAGAAACTAACACAACATTGTAAATCAACTATATTTCAATTAACAAAAATAAAGACTGAGTAAATAAACAGAGGTTGGTGTGGAGAAAGGATTGGAGAGGGTAAGATGGGGGACAGGGAGGCCCGTGGGGTGGGGACCCAGGCTGGAAATGACAGGAGATGGTCAGTGGAATGGGAGGGGGCAAACCTGGCTTGTCCTGTTCTTCAGGTACGGCTTCTCTGACTTCCATTCCCGAATCACTGCCTGGACAATTTTCTCATCTCCCTGCAGGGAGAAGAGTCTAGTTGCCCTACTGATTCAGGCCACCTCTACCTGAGGCCATGCTCTGCCCCTATCCCCACCCTCTGGTATCTCTTTACCCACTTTTGCACCCTCACCTTGAGCAGGTCCGTCAGCTGCATTTGCAGCACCCTGATCTCCTCGTGGAGGTGGCGGATGGTCTCCTGATTCTTCTTGATGTTCCACTGGGTGCTCTCATAAAAGGCCTTCCGGTCACCCTCTAGGGTCATAGGAGGTGGGCAGGCAGAAGCAAAGCATCATAGTCGGTGGGGGGGATGACTTCCCAGAGGGAAGACCTTTTTGTAATTTTCAACATTATAGCAATTTTACTTTGAGCATTTGTTATATGTTGGGTGCTGAATTAATAATTTTCGAGCTATCAAATGCCAGATGCCAATAAGTACATACCCATAAATATTATACCCATTTTATAGATGAGAAGACTCAGATTTATTAGATCGTTCAAAGTCACAACCAATCTGACACCCCAGCCTGTACCTTCAACCACTATGCAAAATTACCTCCTAATAAAACAACACCACCAATGGGGTTTACACCAGGATTTCCTAACTGTGGCACCCGTGACATTTGGGATGGATAATTATCTGCTGTGTTGAGCTGTCCTGTGTATTGTCAGATGTTGAGCAACATCCCTGGCTTCTACACCACCCCCATTGCCAGTAACACCTCTCTCCAACAATGTGACAACCCAAAATGTCTCCAGACATTGCTCAATGTTCTCTGGGGAGCAACATAGCCCTCTTTCATCGAGAACCACTGATTTACACTTTACAGTGTTACTAGGTGCTAGGCACTGTTCTACGAACTTTACACATTTCAACTACCTGTGGGGTTGTACTGTTACTATCCCCATTTTACGGATAGACAAACTGAGAGTCATTAGATTACTCTCAGTCTCCAACAGTCAAACTAGTATATGTAGAGCCAGGATTTGAACCTAGAAAATCTGGATCTAGAATTTATGAACTTCACCACCCCATACATGATAGAAGAGTTGAAATTACATAAAAGTATGAAATACACTCCAGTCAGTTCTGAGCGAGGGAAAGGTTTCATAAGAGAGATGAGGAAAACCATGAACAGATATACGTTTTTGACACCAGAAACTGGCCATCTGGATGGATGCCAGTGAAACGCTGTCACACCACGCTGTACACATCTGTACCCTCAGGACCCATCTTACCTAACAGTTGTATCTTCCTTTGTAACTCAGCCACTTGCATGTGCACAGTGGACTTCCCCTCGGTGGCATGGAGGGGTCCAGCCTTGGAATAGAGTGGATGCCAGGCCTGCGCCGAGCCCTTGCCTCCGGGGTGGTGGGGCTTGGCTTGAGTCTGACTGCCCCTTACTTTGGAGTGGGTTGAAACCTGGTCTTGAGAAGGCATGGCGTTGGCGGAGGCCGCCCAGCACAGAGGAGACGTCATGATTGGGTTGGGGCCTAGGGCCCCTGGGTGTCAGGGGTTCGACTAGGAATCGCCTCTGACCAGGATCTGTCAGCTCGGGTTCCTGGGGCTCTGGGAATACACTTGTCGACCGCTTGGCGGGACCTCGCGTCTTCTCCGGATTGCTAGGTAACCTTTCCCTCCCCCCTCCAGTGCTCCCATGGAAACCACCCGCGTTCCACACCGCCGCTCTCATTGGCGGACGCTGCGCGGAGGGGCGGTCCCAAGAGGGGGCGGAGCAGAGCCGCGAAGCAGAAAGATAGGGGAGGGTACTTTGGAGTCACGTGCTCATTTCTTTTCCTCCGCACCCCTCCACCTCCACCCCACCAGGGGTTCGCGGGCATTTTTCAGGAACTTTCGGTTCCGGCTGTGGAACCCGCCACTCCCAAGATGGAGGCACCTTGCGCCGCCATTAAGCGGGAACCTTCAGAACTATTCCTTCTAAAGGCTTCACAGTCCTATCCAAGATGGCCGGCTTGGTTCCGGCCTCCGCTACTTGCCACTCCCAACATGACGGCCACGAGCCGCCGTTCAGGGAGCGCAGCGTGATGCCGGAAGTGACGTACCCCACCCATCTCCACTTTTCATTCTGCGGGAGGATTCGTTGGCTGCTTCGTAAGGGGGGCGCGGTGGATTTTGACCTTTGCTCTAGCGTCGTGTAGGTGATGAACTAGTAGGCGGGAGGGCACCCCAGTTTCCTACTGGGGGCAGTCAGAGAGTGTGCGTCTGGAGAGGGGGAGACTGTTAACCCTTTCGGCCTATTGGCGGGAATTGGATCGCTAAACATCCCCTCCGTCCCCCATAGGGAGCTGAGGTTTTGAGACCCTCCACCTTTGATTTGGGCCAAGTGAGTCTCTCCTCCGCTGGGCAGGGTTGGGGTGGCCCCTGTTCCCCAGTATGGGAAGCAAAATGAGCCCTAGGTGCCCGGAAGCAGTGGAGGAGTCCAGTTGGCTGGAGAGAGAGGTGCCTTCCTTTGGCTGGAAGTAGCTCTCTCCTGCTGACGGGCCGCCCCTTTCTTGCTGCAGCGTGCGGGCACAGCGCGTCTCCCAGCAGCCCCCTTCCTCCTACAGAGCCCGTTTCCGGCTTCCGAGCCTCCAAGATGTTACTATTGCTGCTGCTGCTGCTGTCGCCCATGTGTTGGGCCGTGGAGGTCAAGCGGCCCCGGGGTGTCTCCCTAACCAGTGAGTCGGCCACTGGAGGTGGCTTAGAGCCGGGGCCGGGGTCGTGGTGGGGGAGATGGGTAGGGTGTGGGAGGCTCCTGGGATAGGCACTTAGAGCCTTGTGCCTCGGTGTCCCGGTCTTTGGGCAGGGAAGGTGGCAGTGCTCAGCTGGTGGATGAAAGGGAGAGGAGCCACTGGGCTGAAAGGGCCTCTTCCTGCCCTGGGCTAAGCTCCTTGCCCACCTCCCCAGACCATCACTTCTACGACGAGTCTAAGCCTTTCACTTGCCTGGATGGCTCTGCCAGTATCCCTTTTGATCAGGTCAATGATGACTACTGTGACTGCAAAGATGGCTCAGATGAACCAGGTGAGCTTTATCTTCTTTCATTCGTTCATTCATTCATCATATTGAGCAGTCAGTGAGTGCCAGGTCCTGTGATGTGACCAAGACAGACCGAGTCCTGTCCTCACATGGCTCCCTGTTGAGTAGGGGAGGAATGCAGGCACAGATGTGTGTAGTCAGTGGTTTGATGAAGAGAGCTGTAGGTAGCTAAGGGAGCCCCAGAAAGGCCCCGACCCGGTCTAGGGGTCATGTGGTGAGGTCCCGGCTGAATACTGAAAGGTGCTGCAAATGGAGGGGCCAGCATGTGCAAGCACCCAGGGGGTGGAGAGAAGTTGGGGCTGAAGGATGGACAGAGCTCGAGTTGGAGACAAGGCAGGGGGTAGGGTTGGCAGGGCCCTGTTCTGGAGGCAGGAAGGAGCACTGGAGAGTTTTGTTTCAAGCCCTGAGCGTGCAGTTGTCTTGCCTCTCCTTACGTGGCATCAGTTACTCTCACATCTCTCGTGCTCCCTGGGTACACGGTGGGTGTGGCATGTCAGCATCTGAGCACACCCTGCAACCCCCCCTCTTCTTTCCCGCAGGCACAGCTGCCTGTCCCAACGGCAGCTTCCACTGCACCAACACTGGCTACAAGCCCCTGTACATCTCCTCCAGATGGGTCAACGACGGCGTTTGCGGTGAATGAGCTCACAGCAGGGTTGAGGGCCGGGTGGTGGGTGGGGGGCACGAGGTGGCGCCGCCAGGTCTGATGGTGCCCTCACGTCTGCCCTCAGACTGCTGCGACGGGACGGACGAGTACAACAGTGGGATTGTCTGTGAAAACACCTGCAGGTACATGGGGGACACTCCTTACCCACCCCCACCCTCGACCTTGCCTCGCCCCGCTCGGGGAATCGGGTTCCCTCTCTTTTGCTCTTGTGTATCGAGTGCTTACCCCATGCCAGGTGCCTGGCCAGTGCTCCATCAGTATTCTTCCCTCTGGTCTGGAAGCAGGTGCAGTTTGTTTGCCTGTTCAACAGACCAGGAAGCTAACCTTAGGGAGGTGAATGACTCCCTCAGGGTCACATAGCTAAGGAATAGCAGAGCCAGGACTCGAACCCAGGGTGGTCTAACTTGAGACTCCATGCTTTTCATTGCTACGCTCTGCAGCAGGACCTGAAAACTGAAATGCCTGTAGGCAGGTAATCGAAACAGCAGAAGCAGGCTGAGTATAAGGCAGTAGGGAGTGGTGGGGATTGTGGCATCTAAAGGGACAGCTGCCCTCCGTTCCAGTGAGTTGAGGACAGATGGCAGGGCCAGATTTGTCTTTTCAAGAAGCTGAAAGTCCCAGTACTTTTTCTTAAAATTTATTAGTGTATTATTTAGTTATTTAATTTTGACAGAGATGGCGGGGAGGTGATTAGATTTATTTGTTTAAGAGGAGGTACTGGGGATTGAACCCAGCACCTTCTGCATGCTAAGCATGCATTCTACCACTTGAGCTATACCCTCCCCCTGAAAGTCCCAATGCTTATGTAAACTCTCCTGATGGAAGATCTTTTAAGTAGAGAGTAACCTGAGCAGAATGTGCTCACTGGCCGGGTTGCCCTTTGGGTCTGGGAGTCTGTGATTTCTGTGCTTTTCTGGGAGCTGCCTTCCAGCCCGACGTCCCAGCACCCCCTAGCCCCTCCCCGGACCCTGAGGATGGGTGACCCCTGCCCACTGCCCCTCCTCCTGCTGACAAGAGAGCCTGGGGAGGTGGGGGAAGGAGGGTTTGCTCTGCCATCTTTGCCAGCAGAGGTGGAGGGTGACGGCAGCGGGGGGTTGAACCCTTCTGGAGGAGGCAGACCTAGTGGGTCCTAAGTGCCGCCTGGTGGTGCTTGTGTGTCCCCTCCTCCCAGAGAGAAGGGCCGTAAGGAGAGAGAGACTCTGCAGCAGATGGCGGAGGTGACCCGTGAGGGGTTCCGCCTGAAGAAGATTCTGATCGAGGACTGGAAGAAGGCCCGAGAGGAGAAGCAGGTGAGGGGCCTGCCGAGGTCAGCCCAGGGTGACAGGGAGGCAGGGACTGGCGAGGCTGGATGGAGTTTACATCTGCTCCCAACTCCTGCTGTCCTGGGGCCAGTTACTGTCTGTCTACACCTCGGTTCACTTGTGGGTCCACTAGCGTTTAGTGGTCAGTTAGGCCAGTACCAGGTGGGTGGCAGGCAGCACAGCTGTCGACCAGGGCCTTGGGTGCAGACTGAAGTGGGCTCGGAGGAGCTCTGCTGCTCCTAGAACAGGGGGTA